TATGTGTGTGTGTACATATATATATATATATATGAAATTTATATATATGAAAATATATATGCATTTATTAATATATGTTGTATGGTATATATGCGTTTATATCGCAGCTTCCTTTATTTTATATTTGACATATAAAATGTCCACTTAAAACAGACGCTGAAAGAATGATTAAAAACATAACGGAAATCATGATCCTATGCATCGGATTGCCAAGCAAATCGATGTTTTATTAGATATCAGTATCAGGTGTACGACCCAGTCAGTATCCTTTAAGACTTCAGTTTTCGTAGGTCTCGCTTTTTCATAGCGTGGTCGAATAGACTACAAGACTTTAGAACATATCTCTCTTGTCACTTGCTTCGTAAATAGTAATATTGATAACATAAGTAAAATAGTAAAGCAGCTAAAGGACATTTTTATTCTCTGAAAAAGAAGAGATTGTCTTCTATGATCGGCTTGTGTGAAGTAAAGAGACTGCGATAAAATCGAGGAAGAAAAAAGCAAAGAACAAAATTATAGCTTGCGAGATTTGAGACATTATTTTAAAACATTATTACGCTCCGAGAGGTGTACATAACGCGAGTTACACAGTCTCACGAAGGTTTACCCTAATTTTCTTCTTCCTATTAGGTGTTGGAATTAATTCGTAGCGTTTTTAATGAAAGAATGTTATTTATTTCACATGAGCATTAAAAAATACATTAATGAAAGTACTTCCCATCACTTGTAAAACGCTACGAATTAATTCCAACACCTAATAATTCTATTCTGAAGAATGCTTCTTAGTCTTATCACTCCTTTCGTGTTTGTATTACACGCTTTCGATTACAAATATTTGATCTGCTCCACTCTAATTGTAATAAGTAACTGACGCTGTATAAGGGAAGCAAGTTTACTAATGTAATCAATCACTGACTCTAATTCTTAATTCTTTCCTGCTATCTCCTGCTATCTCTCGATATATTTTGTTTTTCGTAATATGATTCCGTAATATGTATGCCACAAATCTTTCACTCCGCATGCTTTTAATTTAAATAGTCTGGTAGCTTCCTGTATATCGCAATTAGTTGATTGAAATTCTTTATCGATATCAATTTGATATTACCTTTTAGATTGTAAGGTATTTCAAACTGTATATGTTGACACGTAAAGTACACGTCTGAAAGATTAAATTTACAGAGTAATTTATTAACGTTTATCTTTTGCACTTAATAAGCATAAGGTTATTTGTTGTATAGATAATGTTAGTAAGAAAGTCTATTCTGCCTGATTACTTCATACGTAGGATGGAAACAGTTTGAAAATATGTGTACTTCGTACAAAGTGAGTCACAATTAGCGAGAAACGCGATAAAAACTAGCGAACATTATCGCATTCAACATAATACGATTGCGAAATTAATTGTAAAAAAGAATTCTATCTGTAAAGTAGTAATAAAGTTATTATTGATGGAGGATTGCCCATTTTTTGGCAATTATAAAAATATATAAGATACTTCCCGGAATTTCATTTTGAGACACACAGTATTATCTCCCCCTTTATGCAGATAAAACTACATCGATAAATCGATAATAACGAATTAGTCGTTTAAGATAAAATTAATCTACATATATTGTCAAGTTCTTTTTTATATGTATGTAAATATGTACATTCTATATACAATAATATTACATATAATAGAGAAGATTTGACGATTTTAGCACATTAGGATTTTGGTATCATTTGATCGCAATTGTGAAAGTTATCACTAACTTGTAATAAATGTACTATACCACATTCCGCTTTTCGTATCAATCAATATTCTTATTCATTTCTGAAGTGATAGATGTTCTAAATGAGCAGTGTCAAACTATACATAATCATCGTGATGATTTTTCTATTTCACTACCACTATACATACCACGTATACTCTTTTGTATTTTAGGATTCATGGCAGCCATTAGAAAGAAGTTGGTTATTGTAGGCGACGGTGCTTGTGGTAAAACATGTCTTCTAATAGTGTTCAGCAAAGACCAGTTTCCTGAGGTGTATGTACCCACAGTATTCGAGAACTATGTCGCCGATATCGAGGTGGATGGCAAACAGGTGCGTCTCGTTTTAAAATTTCCTTATTACCTTCGTCAAAAGATCTGCTAAAATTCCTCTTTTAATGACCTTTTCGCTTCTTCCAAACAGGTGGAACTGGCTCTTTGGGACACAGCTGGACAAGAAGATTACGACAGGTTGCGTCCGTTGTCGTATCCGGACACGGATGTTATCCTAATGTGCTTCTCCATCGATAGTCCCGATTCCTTGGAGAACATTCCCGAGAAGTGGACACCAGAGGTGAAGCACTTCTGCCCAAACGTGCCCATTATCCTTGTTGGAAACAAAAAAGACTTGCGCAATGATCCTAACACCATCAAGGAACTTGGCAAGATGAAACAAGAGCCAGTTAAGCCTGAGGAGGGTAGGGCCATGGCGGAGAAAATCAATGCTTTCGCCTACCTTGAGTGTTCTGCCAAAAGCAAGGAAGGTGTAAGGGAAGTTTTCGAAACGGCAACTCGAGCTGCATTACAAGTATGTCTCAATTATCTATTCTAATAGTAAACTATAATAAACTATTAAAAAAAAAAATGAGAAAATTAGATCGCTAAGTTGGGAGTTAATATGAAAAGATACATTCAAATTTCAAGAAATATTCAGCTATATATATATATATATATATATATATTACGACATTGCTTAATATTTATCGTTGTTAATACATATAAATGTATGCAAACACTAATGCAAATATTTTTAAATCTTAGGTAAAGAAGAAGAAGAGGGGAAGATGTAGGCTTCTTTAAGATGTTGTGACAAGTGAGCCCATGGTTACAGGCAAAATTATGGAATTGCGGAACTAGCTGTAAAGAAGCTAGTCGTAATACTGCAGATCCCCAGCGGAAACCATGATATAACATCTTACCTTTAATTATTTTACATAATAAAACAAGTCTACAGCAGCAAAAAATTAGTAAAACAAAAAAGAAGGTGCAACCGCGTCGACAAATACATATATACCTAATGTTATAAACTGTCAATGAAACTGAAAGGACTCGAGAAATACTAAGTAAATTCAATACAAGTATACTTATAATCTTACGGAAAACTATAATGTACATTGTAATGACTATTGATTGTGTAATGTTTAACAGTAATTGTGCTTCGAGTTTAAATGATTAAAACAAAAAAATGATTGTCATACCAACAACTATTTACATTTTACGGTACAGAATTATCTTTATCATTGTAGTAATTATTACTATTATTATTACTATCTCTTTATTAATATAATTAATATTATTATTATTATATCCATTCTACATCTTTGTTTTTTAATCGTAATGTCTCTTTATTTTGGTAATAAACAAAATGAAAGAAAAATTTTTGAGATAGAATATCAATAATAAATTAGAATATCAAAATATTGAATACGCAAAACATGCGAAATACAGTCAAAGAGTAATAAGACTCAGAGAAACAATTCGAGAGAACTTTAAATCTTGCATCTTGCTTTTTTATTAAAAATCGTCACATTTTTGCGACTCTTGAATGGTGAAAAGAAAGTAAACGGACATTTATTATATTATAAACGCGCATAGATAGATCAACAGATCACTGGATTTTTAAGATACCAATTAGATTAAATGTGTGTATTATTATATTTTATTATTATTATTACCTTATAATTATTGTACGATGACACTAACGTAACAGAGATTATAACAGCGACTACATTTATATTTATGTATTCGGGGAACGCGTTCTTTGTGTCTGACCAAGCCGTGACTGGACTTGCGGTTTGCGCTTTTTTATACACATACATACGCCATCGATATCTTTAGCGTATGATATACTAAACTCGGAGATTATCGGTCGCGTACAGCGACGCCGTATATATCTCGCTTTGATTTTGTGTGCCACAATTGTAGAGCCGAGCTGCTTCGCAAAATTCACACCAATGTTCGACCTATTTGTTTCACCATTTGAGCTCTTCCCATTTCGCTTGTGCTGTCGTTTACGCCGAGATGAAAAGAGAAAGGATGATGCTACACTCGTCTTCTATAGATCCGTCTAATCTGTAAGATTATTGTAATGAAAAAATTGTCTCTTACAAAGGTGATGTTGAATTAACGGCCGCGTAACGCGATGCCTCTCTCGGCCGTTAATTCAATGAGCTCGACTGCGGAATTGTGTTCACTAAGTTCTCTCCTCGTTTCTCTTAGCGAATAGTAGATCTTGTTACACAGTACGCTTTTACGGAACTTCTCCAAGACATCCGAAGGAAAAAGAAGCTTAGCGACACTTACTTAAGATACTTCTGCCACGAGCAAACGCGCGCACGACGGATTCGTAGAAAGCAAAGAAAAGGAAGGAAGGCGGAGAAAGAAAGTGAAAAAGAGAGATGAAATGACGGGAGATATGTATATTAAGCGATTAAGTTTGCCCGAGTTAATGAGTGCTTTGGGAAATACGTGTCAAATACACGCTCCACTCTACAGGTCGCGCGTCGCTGCGAAGCTCGAAAGTGTTCTTTTATATTGAGTTTCGTGGTATATAGATGTGTGTATACACACACACACATATATATATATATATATAATTTTATATATATATATATATAATTATATATACATATATAATTTATATATATATATATATATATAAAATTATATACACACATCTATATACACGTACATACGTATATTGTATCAATTACGCACCCGAGATATTGTGTATATACATATATGATATAAACTCTACCATATTTTCGCGTATCACGATAAACATACGCGCGTCAAGATTCAAACACCGTTTTTCCAGAGCACACACACATACACACATTTACACACCACACTTCATATACTTCCGTCGCATGGCAGAGAAAGAGAGCAATAAATAAAAATTAACGAGAATAGGCTTGATCGTCTAAGATCTTTTAATATTGTCACATGAAATTGATCAACGCGTGTTCAATGTGAGCGAGCCGTTCTTTTTGACGAGCTAACACTAAGAGAAGAAAAGATATGCATGCATCTCCTACGTTCGCACAAATACATATACACACACATACAGACACGCGAGTACTTTTTCTTAAAAGGCTCCGTAAATCTCAAGATTACCTTATCAATAAAAGGCGATCTTATATGATCGTCGTAAGCTAATCTTTTTCATAAATAGAGATATTTTGAGACTCGTGTTTAACTGATTTGTACGAGAAGAAAAACCCAAGAAATGAGAGAAGTATCGGCAGTTTTTTTCCGATGTGTGTGTGTGTGAGAAATACTAAATCCGATTTTTATGAATCAGGAAAAAGGAAAAGGGATCATTGATTTTGACTTCCGAAATCTTTCTATCGGCTCACACCCTTTTTCTGCAAAACTACTAATTAAGCTTTTGTATGTAAGACTGTACGATTAACCTACGAACGCTATGATAACAAATTGTAACTAACAATAAACATTTCTTATGACGTATATAATCGGCTCTACTGCTAGATGATACCCGTTAAAGCGAGAAAATTTTATTTGCGTATCTTTTTTTTATTTTAACATGATACTAGTTCGTATGTACATCATAGATGATAACTTATAATTGGCTTCAGGAAAAAGAATAAAAATCTTGACGGTTTTTTCTTATAAAACAATTTATTTTGGCTCTTTCATATATAAACAAAAATCGCTGCATTATCTCTTAACTTAGCGTAGTCGAAATACGTGATATTGGAATGGAGTGTTGCTTTCTGTATAACTTTATAATTCGCCAAACATCTTGGGAAAGCATGTTGCGAAAAAAAATTTCAAATCGGTTCTGCGCGCTTTATCACGTCATTATACAATCGTTATAAAGTATACAATTAGTATATGTAGACAATTCTATATGCTAGAGACACTCCCCCCACCCCACCCCCATTCGAACATCCATTTTTCACTTATTGCAAAACGTCTCGCGGAAAATCCATGATATCTGCACTCTAAGTGTTATTTCTGTTTATACACATTTGCTTGTTCTTGAATGTATTAGAGTTGCTTTGTGTATTACGTGAGAAAAACTCACGGATCGCTTCGTAGATTAATGCATTAAAAAATGTAAACGAACTTTGTGATCGTTTACATCAGTTAATGTCTTATAGTTCGTCAGTTCTAGGTTTTAACGCCTTGCCCTTGCGATCGTAGCCCTTGAGCTCGTCGGTAGAGTGCTTGGCAATATACTTGATGAAGTCATCAAGCTCGCGACCGCCCTCATATCTGACTGGATTGTCCTTAGCATCCTTAGGCGCCCAGTAGAGCGTCGGGAAACCGCGTACTTCGTATGGCGCTGGTACGTCATTCGCTGTGGCGTCGAATTTGACGATCTCAATATCCTCGTCCACCAATTTATCACCCAACTCGTCAAATACTGGTGCCAGTTTCTTACAGTGGCCACACCAAGGCGCGTAAAATTCGATTAGTGTATCTTTGCCGTTATTGACAACGACTTCGTCAAAGTTCTTGGCAACCCCGACCTTCACGTTACCCGTATTGCTATCTGGAATCGGCTCGGATTTGAGATACGGTTCCAAAGCACCGGCCTGCAGATCCTTCAGGAACGCCTCGAACGTGTCCACGGAGAACTCGTCTTTGAGAACAAATTTCTGATTCTTATCATCTCGTGCTAGAATGACTGGTTTATCACCCTTTGCGTAGTCGATGCCAAAGTCGTTCAGCTCGTGCTGGAAGTCATCCTTAGAAGATATAGCGAAGGAGTACGCGGGGAAGTCCTTAGCGACCTTGAGGATCCTGTTGCGCCAGTAGTTCGTACCTTTGGCGTTCTTCACGTAATCCACATTGTAGTAGGCAATTACCAGAGGATTCTTGAAGTCCTGCGCATTATCGCGAGTGCGTACACCAGCGATACCGTAGCTGTAACAAAGTCGGCGTTAAAAAGTAATTCCAAGATTATCTAAAAGTTTCGATAAGAAGATGAAACTTACTAGTTCTTGGTAACGAATTCATTCACGTCACTAATAGAATCGCTGCCTTTGTATACAATGTTGTTATCTTCGAACTTGTTCTGGAGTATTTTTGGTCGGTAAAGAACAATTGCATTCCTGAAAAAAGGAGTATTTTAGTTATAAAATATATAAAATATATTTCATTTCTCGAACAATTACTTTCTTTGTACAAACGAACAGAAAAAATTATCTCTATAATTCTTGAAACACATACTTGTGAGATACTTTGTCCAAAACTTCCTTCGCCGATGTGTGAGCGAATTTTACTTTTTCTCTGAGCTTCTTGGAAACAGTATGATGTGCCGCAGACAATGGTGAATCATCCTTTTCGAAATAACCTATCACAACAACTTCGTCAGTTTCTAGGAACGTCTTGTGGGCCTTTTCGCTAGTTAGCTCTTGAGATGCTGGCCCCACTTGAGACTGAAATGATAATCATAGGTAAGAAAATTGTACAATTGGATTTCCATAACTAAATAAAAGGTATGAGATATTACCTTCATGTACTTAACAATGCCGGCTGCTTCTCTAGGACCATTATAGTCAGACCTGACCTCATTACGCTCAAAGATTTTGAGTGTCGGGTAACCGTTGACAGAGAACTTGTTGCAAGTTTCCTTTCCGGCCTCTGTACAGTCGACCTTGGCGAGCGTAATTGGTGGCTCACTACCTATAAGCAGCTCAGCTGCTTTTGCATACTCTGGCTTCAAACGTTTACAATGCCCACACCTGTGGCAATGAAATAACACATTCTATAATTAACTTCCACTTAAGAATTAATAACAATAATTAATAACATGGTGACAAGCTAATTTTAGTAATAAACTCTATTTCTGGACGAATATTCAATAACTATTGTTTTACATAAAGTTATAATCTCTAAAAAAAAAGTATTAGAACTACTTTTTGCTATTTTTTTTATTTGCGTTCAAAATAAGTTTTAATTTTAAGGCAAATAACATCTTTTTTAGTTTATTATATCCTTTTGAACAAAATAATGTAAAAACTAGAAAAAGAAAAAGATGGAACAACCAGCAAAAAATATAAAAAAAAAACAAAAAATTGAAAATTGAAATAGAAAAAATATATGATTCACACAGTGAAAAACTAGCTATTTTAATATCTTTATTATGAGATAAATAAAGATAACTGTTCACGACATTCGTCAGATTTTGGAGATATTCAGAAATTTGGATACGTCATCAAATTGAATAATGCCGTATGCCGGCGTTTTGCGCATCAATTAAACGCGCAAAAAATATATCTTTCGATAGAAGATACGAATCTTATCGTCAACAAAGACTCTGTATTACAACGTAATACAGATTAATACACCATAAAGAGCTTCTCAAACGATTTTTCTACTTGATTAATGACGAATGCTGACGTTTTTCCCTAATCCTAGCTATCCGCAATTTTTCTCTCTATTCTTCTTTGCGAATATTTCGTTTTATTGCGAATGTAGGAGTTTCGATAGTTCGTAAATGCGAGAAAAAGGCGTCGATACAACGCGGCCAGAAAAGACAGATCTGACAGATCTGATGAAGAAGTCTCTCTCACCATGGTGCGTAAAACATGACGAGCGTGTTCTCGTGACGCTCGAGCTCGCTCTCAAAGGTCTCATCGGTGAGTTCCAGGACATCTTTCTCGTCGGCGAAGGCACCGAGCAACAGCAACGGCAGGACAAACAGGCACTTTCGCAACATCCTCACGGTAGTGGGTCGTGTGATCACTGATTGTTGGAAGAATTGTCTGTCAGTATCAGCCGCCTACACGTCCGTCCGTCCGTCGTAGTAGACGTGGCTCTTCCAGGAAGTACTGTGGCTGGCGATACGCGATGCGGTCCGCGCGGTGCTGTCGCGCGCTGATTGGCTGGCGTACCGCTAGCGCGCCGATTGGCGAACCTGCCGCCTCGTGTACCAATTAAACGGCTTGCCACTTGCGCGCCGATTGGTCGGTTTATCACTTATGCACAGGTATATCCGGTGTCCGAAAAATCATGCTGCTATGCGATTTCTTATCCTACAAGACAAATCACAAGATAGTTTAACGTCTACGTTTTTACAAATGATTTGATTTTGATTCTTAGACAGATCAATGCTTATTTAACTGATTATAAACAGATAAGATAAGTCTCGATTCAAAATAAAAATCTTGTCCCGAAAGACACTGCAGTTTCTTTAATTAGATTGACAAAATATTTAATTTTGACTTCTGAAAATTCCTAGAAAATTTAAATAATTTCAAAAAAGAATTTTCGAACAAATTTGAGACTATAAAATCGAAAAAGTTTTACTCGATACCCAGTTTTTCTCGAACAAACGAGAATGGATTAAAATGGATTGAAATTTTTTTCTATCCATTTTAATTCATTCTCGTTTCCGAATGCGTATTTTATATATATATAGCGAATACTTTTTTTGGATTTAATTAGATTTAATTAGATTTAATTGGATACAATTGGATTGAAAAATTGCATTTCCCATTCAAAATTTTGAATTAAATAGTATTCAATGTGTATGTTATGCACAGAAAAAGCTAATATTATTTTTAGATTGAAAGGCATAGAAATATGCTTCATGCAATTCCTATAAATGAATAAAAATATATTCAGGATTGAAAAGCATTCATTTTAACATTCGTGAATCAATATTTCTGAAAAATCTGAATCTATTTCAATTCATTTCAATCCATTCTCATTTGCTGGGTATATATACATGTTCTTATTATTATACGTCTGGTGTATACTTATCTGATAACACAAGATGCGACCTCAAGGAGACCAGAAGATAATGTCAGATAATATATTCGAATACATTGTTGATGAAGTTGTCTCCATATCACTTTCTACCTCTATATTAATTTAATTTTAATTTTGGTTCAATTACTATTATCTTTTTTCTAACTCTTAGAAAACTACTATTACTATTTATTTACATTATTATTTATCTTTTTTTTTAATTTTTAGGGCTGATTGTTCCATCTTCGGCTAAACCATGTGGTAATTTATCTAATGGATAAACAAAAAAGTAAAAGCAAGATTATTAATTTTTATTAATTATTAAGATTTAACTATTAAGATTAAGATTAAGATTATTCCTAATGTGCTGCAGTGTTATTAAATTTTGATTATAGCTTGAATACTTTCACAACTCTTTTCAGATAGTATTAGGTGTTGGAATTAATTCGTAGCGTTTTACAAGTGATGGGAAGTACTTTCATTAATGTATTTTTTAATGCTCATGTGAAATAAATAACATTCTTTCATTAAAAACGCTACGAATTAATTCCAACACCTAATAAATTTCTCGCTCACCGCGCGAAGTTGTTAAATAACAACTGTCAATTATCATTTCGTGTTTATAATATGTTAGAATTTTACTTAAAATAAATTTTTTAATTATTATCCACGTTTCGACATGCATTTATATATTATAATTACACATATACCGTGGCGATAAGCCACGCAGAAAAAACTCCGCTTTTTTCTTTTTTTTACTCTAGGAAACTTTTAATAATCAAAAGTCCCTCCGTTCATATACAAGTCTGATATAAGACTATCGATACAACGAAGACAGGTTTCGTCCATTTACACGTTGCGTGTTTCATATATATATAATTTATATATATATATTTATTTATATTTATATATATATAATTATATTTATATATGTATACCGATTATTTACAAAAATCGTTACATGTATATAAATGACGACATTTATAAACGCGTAATTAAGGAAAGGTGGAAACGCATTTGTGAGGGAAAGAAATTAGCAGTCCTATCTTGGTCAATATTCTCGTTAGTCACCTTCGATACAAACGGCTATTAAATATTATTATTATTATTATTATTATTATTATTATTATTATTATTATTATTATTATTATTATTATTATTATTATTATTATTATTATTATTATTAATATTATTATTATTATTATTATTATTATTATTTAATTATTAGCTATCCGCAATCCAATATTTATCAAAGATTCTTATAAAACCGTAGATCCAATCTCGATCGTTCTCCTACTGATTAGAAAAGGGATTGACTTATTTTTACTTATCAACTTTTTCTCTCATTGAATCTCTCATTATTAATTCATGGTTAACAGGCTATCGCTATTGTTATCAAATCTCAAGTATTAATTCTCAGTTCACAAAATACTTCAAGCACTCACACACCATCGGTTCGGCTTACATTCCTATGAAGAAACGTAGGTCTCGCGGGTGAGAAACGAGGCCACAGAAAAAGAATTATCCAAAATTTGATAGAATAAAGCAAATAATATATTATTTCATAAAAGAAATACAAAAATATAATGCTATAAATATGTTTTTGCGTTTTATTATGCTGAAGGTCGAACTATAAAATATAAAATATCGCAAAAACTAAACTAGCATGCTGAAAGAAATCGGCACACGAATATTTCTTGATTCGTGAACGAGGAAAATTGAGATCCCACGTTTTATTTTATCAGTCAAACGAAAGTTCGATCGTTATTATGCAATAAATTAACGATACCGCCATAACTGAGAGCCGCTTCTTGCGCGTTTCCTACATTTCTTCACGATTCACCGCCCGTAGATTCAGGGGTGCTCGCATAGTATTTAATCAAGGCTACGGGCAACAAACGAGATGTTCGAGGACGGGTGAAGCTCACAAAAAATGGTAACAAGCGATAAAGGAAGAGATGCGAATAAAAAAAGAAAGAGAAAAGAAGAAGAAAGGAAAGAAGCGCAAAAACGCAAAGAAAGCAAGGAGGTTTACAACACGCATCATCCCGATGCAACTGTACAACTATAATACATTCGTACATCAAGTCGATGCCATAAATAAAACGGGAAAAAGCAAGGGGTCCATTTTCGCCTACGTCTTTATCACAGGCTACGATAATTTAAGGATCTGTTATATTCGACGGGGGAGGCCGGCCGCCGTCGGGCCGTCCTCGGACAGCGAGAAAGGACAAGCGGAAATCTTAACGGACGTATCGTAGAAAAGTGATTTTTCTCCTCCTCTTTAGGCTTCGCGAAAGAGAAGACGCTCGATGGATACGCATACAGGGATGATGGTAATGACGACGACAATGATGATGATGATGATGATGATGATGATGATGATGTTGGTATTGATAACGTTGATGACGATGTTGATGACGTTGTTAACGTTGGTATTGTTGTTGATGTTGAGGTTGATGATGAATGACGCTGTGCGAAGGACGTGGAACGTGGTAATCTCGCAATCGCTACACGTACTCGTCATCGAGTACACATTTCTTCGAATATTTAATCGCTACATTCGTTTCTTTGTTATTGCTTAACCGTTACATCGTGGATGCGAGAATGCGACGAGGTGCGACCACAGTTGGAAGATTTGATGCAACAGTGACCCAGCTCATTAACAATTTATTTATTGAAATTTATTTATTTCTTGAAATTATTCAGTAACTTGACTGAGAGAGTGTTTAAAAGAGAATATTGTATTCGTTTTCAAAATAGAATTGAACGTTTGTTTGAATTGATAAAAATATGTAAATTAAATTATCAGACTGACATAAAAAATTCATGCTTCAAGCGTATAGAAGCTTTAATGAACTTTCATCCTTCATATCTCTTAAATAATTCAATTCTCAACTTGAATTTTTTTTGTGATTGATGTCTCATCATAAAATAGTATTTGGCATACAATTCTTTAATTCTCCTCCTCCTTCGATCATGAGATTTTTTTAAAGATGAGTTAAGTCACTGTCGCACTCTTCAATCGTCGCAATATAATCGTATAATTTGTGCTAAATTTCTGAATAAACGATAGTTATATAAGAAATAATCACAAAATTTTGAGAAACACTTTATACGAAACACGCATGGTAGATTTGTTGCACCAACGGCGAATTGACAAAAATTTTAGTTGGAAAATTACAATATTAAAATTACAATACATTTTCCGTAGATTGTGTTACCTCAATATAAAGGGAGTTCTAATAACGCGGAAAAGTGGAGACAATCTATTGACGCTAAGACAGATATATGCAATTGTTAAAGGATTAGACCAAAGTATCCTACAAAATTTCTTCATCTTATTTGCATGATATCGCGACCATATTTAGTCAGAAATGCAGTTATTTTGAAGAAGAAATGATTTGATATAAGTGTAGAAGGAAAACAATCGATTTTTTATTTAAAAAATAACAGACTTTGAAGATAATTTTACTTCAAAACTCATCAAAATTCAAGAAATTAACGAAATTATTTTATAAGCATGTTAAAGTGTACAACCACACAAAAGTATTTAGGCAAACTGGAAGAATATAAAAATGAATATTATAAATATAATTTTATTAATTTTATTATGCTAAATAATTAAAAATTATTTATTACTTGTATTAATAAAAATATACTTCGAAGATGAAAAATATTCTTTTTCATATCTTTATAACTTGTTTCAAAGAATTTTCTAAGTAAATGTAAAAAAAATGATTACGCCGCAAGGTAAATTAATTATTTGTACAATAATTTGATTTTATTCAGTCTTCTATTCTTTTCCTTTAATTTGATCAGTTTTCTAAAAAAAAGAATCTTCATTTTTTTAAGTAATTGGTCTAATTCTTTAAACAATTTAAACAATGAAATAGTTGGTGCAAATCGATCTAATTCATGGGAAAAATTTCCTAAGTGCTCTAACTCAATTATCTATTCGACACACGTAAAATAGACAACATGTAGAATAGATAAAGATAACTCTTAATATCGAAATCTCCCAAGCGAGCGTTCCTAACTCCGACATGCGCCATTTCGCTCATCGTCGTCGTCGACGTGAATAAGTCGCGTCGTTGACGTCTTTTTTTTGGCGCGACGTCTACTTATTTTAAGAAACATTATACAATTACGTACGTACGAATGTATAAAATCTGTTTTTCTTTTTTTACGACTAAATGGGGAATGTACGATCCTTCTTTCTTC